AGTTAGCATAATGGATGCATATCTTGCTCTTTAAAGTGGCTTCTTTATTTTTTTTTTAAATAAAATACTTTGGGACCTTCATCTCTGAATATTACACAAGAGGAAGAAATTTCAACAATAGACAACTGAGCCAAGATGCAAACAGTATCATATATCCTGCTTCTTGAAACGTAAGTCTTGGAAAGTGTCTGTCTCATTCTCTTTTCATTCATTGTTCCTGGCAAGCTGACAGAACCGCCTGATGCACTGTTACAGTAGCTCACCCAAACGACTTCTAATCAGCCACTTAAACATTTATGCATTTCAAAACTTGATCTCAGAACATAATACTAAACATAAATACTTACTATTTAAAGGCAGACATTCTTCTATTATACAGATTTCCTTCTTTTTATGTACTCTCCCCACACAGCCCCACCCCCACCACTCTGAGAAACGTGAAAGCTATTCCATTCAAAGCTCAATGACGCTTTTCCCCCCATATAGGAAAAAAACCCAAACGATTATGACAAAGATCCTGAGTGAGTCATAAGAGAATGCCCTTCAATTGTGGAGGCATGACTAACATTTGAATATGGTGATTGCTACACAAGCAAAGTAAACCATGTTATTTGGTTGACTGCAGAATATATAGTCATCTATTTTTCCATACCCCAAAAATATAAATTTGAAGAGTTGTTCACCTCAGTATGATAGGCTCTTACTTTTTCACATCCTGCTAAGTCCATTTAGAAAATGGGCAAAAAATAATAGAAAGTAGCTAGTAGCACTATTGCCATAATCCCCATTTATCTTGATGTTAAAAAAAAAATTCATTGTGTTTACATTTTAAGGCAACCCACACCATTTGCTTATACTCTAATATTTTGATAATAATAAATTTTGCTTGATAAATGTGATACATACATAAAGAAATATGCAGATGTCTTATTACCAAAAAGGCAATAAATTCTGCTTGTGAGAGAGAGAAGACTTTGAAAAACCTAAGTGACATTTATTAAGCCAAGCATTAAAGACTAGTAAAAGTTTATCACATGGAAAAGAGTAGGAACCTTGTCTTTTCGTTCTTTGTCCATTGCCCAGCCATGCTCTAGGCAATCACTCAGAGCAGCATAATTGATCGTGGTGATTTGTCAACTTACTTGGGGTCCTCATTAGAGTGGTTTTACTCAAGAGCAGGACCTTCATATATTTTTCTTTATAACCCAGTACTCAGAAGGCATTCAATAAAAAGTTTTCCCTTCAAAAGAGCTTTCCTTATAAAGTCAGATTGACTCCATCCTCAAAGTCACTGATAAAAAACATGAGAGAGTCAGCAGTTTCCCTAAAATGGAAGAACTGCAAAAAAAGAGAAAAGATCCATTAAAACACTGGTCCATTCCCCCTATCCCACATTTCCTGCTTTTATCCTTGGGATGCATTATGCCAGAATGTATATGTATATATACAAGTACACACATACATATATACACACATATGTGAATGTTTTGACGTAAGATTGACTTGATATTTATATTCAACTTTCAGTTTTTCAACACAAACCAATAGTTGGTAAAGACAAATGACCCAGAAAAGGACTGAGTCTGATAATTTGCTGTGGAAAACTCATGCACTAACAATACAGAATTAGAATAAAGTTAGGACCTTTGAGGAAGAAGAGTCAATAAGCTCCCACTGTTCACCTGCTTCGAAAAGAACATCTTGCTCAGAAGACCCATGTTTGAATCTAGACTCTGCCATTATCTGTGTAACACTGGGAAACTCACTCAAGCCCTGCGGTACTGTTCTCTCCTCTGTGAAATGGAGCGGACACACTGCTGTTTGGAGCATGAGACAGGGATTATGAGAGAGCATGGATGTCCTATAGCAGCTTCTTACTCCATGCAGCCTCTAAACAACTGCTTTCCCTGAAGAGCACCATGTCAGACCACTTGTCCCAACACAAGAGATTCCAAACAGGGCAGGAAAAGATCTTACTAAAGGAATCACATCCACCACCTCCTCCCATTGATAAGGTTCATGGCCTGGTGACAAAGATAGTAGATATGTGGAAGGGAAAAATATCTTGCAATTTTTTTTTGTTTGTTTTTGTTTTTTTTGCTTCCTCTGTTCATTCTAAATTTCCCTACATCAAATTAATCATGGCAAAAGGAGTCTTACTTTAATTTGCTGTCCCTGAACAATTTAACTGCACTCTGGTTTGGGGCCACAAATGAAAGGACGGCCATATGTATTTGCTGATGTCAACTGGACAAAGCTCACCCAGCCAGGCACAAGAGAGTGCTTTCCCAGAGAAAATGCTGTTCTCCATTTACCACCTCCGGAACTAAAGCTGCTTTTACTCATTCTACACTCTATAAAAGGCTTTTATTATATGCTTCCCTCCTTTGTAATACAGCCCCCCCTTTTTGAGGAAAAATCTGCAGTAATAAGCAAGCTAGTCTTTTAACAGAAGATAAACAGAGTGCAGTGAACTTAAAACCACTCTACTTTGTTTTACCCAACCACACAGCATTCCATATTGCTTTCATTTCTTTTCTTCCCGTTGCTGTTAATAGTTATTTTTAAAGAATTACAACAGAAGCAGGTCAATAATGCCTACAGATGTCATGAAAGTATTAGGCCATACTCTGTGCAGAGAAACGTGTAAACAGTTAATGGGCTGAGGTAATTTATAATCCTCCTTTTACCAAATGCATTTTACCTACAATTCCACTTGCATAACAGATGATTCACTTAAAACCTCACTGCAGAAAGTGGCTGTCAGTTAAACAACCATCATCTTTACCAACAATAGATGTTTACAGAGCATCTACTATGTATTTTTAGGGCACTGCTAGGTCTACATGTAAGCAAGGATTAAAGAAGAATAAATAAAAAATTTAATCTTCTTCCTCTTACATTTTTCATTTGCTTCTATCATCCCTCTTTCTCTATTTTATGAAGACACCTGTTTGCTTTCCCTCCTCTTACCTTCTAGGTTAAGTCAAAGAGTGCTCCTGAATTAACCCCTCCAACTTGCTTTGTTCTTCCCATGGGTCAGGAGCAGCTATGAAAGAGACTCAATGACTGGTATCATCTCAGCCTCTTTGTTCTCCTAGAGCTGGAAAACAGCTGAGTATCTTAGAGCAAGATGCTCAAGTTATCCAGCCTAAGCATCACCCACTAGGTTTACTTTGGAATTTGGGGGCATCAGGAGCCCAGGATCTAAGAACAACCTCCTTACCTGTTTGTGTCCTCCAGACAGTTGTGATTTTGCATGGTTACAGGGCTGGAATTAGAAATCTTGCCAAACTACTATTTTCAGTGACTTTCTTACTCTGTGTGTGTGTGCGTGTGTGTGTGTGTGTGTATGTGTTTTGAGACCAGATCTCTGCTGCTGTGTGTGTGTGTGTGTATGTGTGTGTGTGTGTGTTTTGAGACAAGATCTCACTCTGTTGTCCAGGTTGGAACACAGTGGTGCAGTCATGGCTCACTGCAGCTTCAACCTTTAGGGCTCAAGGGATCCTCCTGCCTCAACCTCCTAAGTAGCTGGGACTACAGGTGCATGCCACCATGCCTGATTAATTTTTTAACTTTTTTGTAAAGATGGGGGTCTCACTATGTTGCCCAGGCTGGTCTTGAATTCCTGGTCTCAAGTGATCCTCCCACCTTAGCCTCCCAAAGTGCTTCTTACCATATTATGTATGTATGCACCAGCCCCTTCTAACATGGATGTTTTTATCACCTCCACCTACTATTCCCTGAATGACCTGATGAAGGCAAGAGAAGAAACTTAGGATTTCACAGAACACCAACGATTTATTTACAAAGAAGCAAAGGAGCCTTAAAACTAGGCAAAAAATAATGATCTAAAAATCCATTATAATCTGCTTTGAACTAGAGTACTTACCATTAATAACACCAACCATACTACAGCTATATAGGTGGCAAATTAATAGTGAAAAAGTTAAATATAATTCTACAGAGCCAAATAAGGGATCCCAAATATCTCATACGTTTTACAAGTATTTAGCTTGCTGCCAGTTTTTATTATAGCTCTTACTCTGAAATTTTAAAAATGAGGTTTCATAATTTATAGTAGTGATGGCTATCTTCTTCCTTAATATCGACTAAGGACCTATTTTACTAATTTTCGACCAGGGATATTATGTTCTGAAATATTTGGCCTACCCAACAAAGTAATTTTTTAAAGTAAATTTTGTTTGCATCTAAAACCAAAAATAGGCAGTTGGCTTCCTCTCTATTTTTCATTTGCTATTCAGTCCCTCTACGTTTCTGACCTTAGCCTGTTCTTCCATTTGTCCGCTCCCTAAATTTACAAGAAAAAAAAAACCATATATATATGTATTTTTTATTAGCTCTATATATTAGCAAGCATTCACAAACCTTAAGATATTTTCAGTGATAAGAAGGATACATTTTGTAAGGTAAGTAGAATTCAATTATTTAACAGTTAAAACAAAACTGACAGAGCCCCTGAAAATATTTACCAGACTTCCCCACCTTCACAGTGGATGCTTCTCAACTTCCGGTGTATTATTCATATAAATAGAAGAAGCAGACATACAAAGATTTATGGAGGTATTGGGGCAAAACACCAATGACTAATTACAAAGAGTTTTCTCCAGGATCCAATGTGTCTAGGTCCCAAAGTACATGTATCAAGTGTTCAATTCCACTGACAGAATCCCAAATCTGACTGTTAGGGGAAAAGTACGATTCCTGGGGACTTCAGTTGCTTGGCCTGGTGCCTTGCTGCACATTTAGCCATGTAGTTAATCTCCCAGAGCTGCACCCACTGTGGCATGCCTGCTATTCTTTACCATCTGGAGCCTGGAGTTGGTATTAGCTTGAACCACACATGCAAGAGAAAAGGGAAGAAAAGGAAAAAAACAACCCTCATTCACATTTAACTGAAATTGGTGACTGAACAATGCCCTATGCCGCCTAGGCTTTTACACATGTAAGAAAGGGGGGAAAAAGGGTAAAGTACAAACCTTCTCCTTTGTTTTCTGGTTCTCTGCTCTAAGGTCTTCATATTCGCCTATTGCTAAAAGAAAAAAGGAAAGCAACATTACAACACTGTCAAAAGTTTACTGCAAGGAAACCTGGGGAATCCACCTAACCCCCATTGTCTTCTTACTAGGTTGAGGTAGGGTGGAGAAGAGGCAGCAGAAAAGAGGCTTCTGCTTTCATTTTTTTTATTCTGTAGAGACAGGGTCTCACTATGTTGCTCAGGATGGTCTCAAAACTCCTGGGCTCAAGTGATCCTCCTGCCTTGGCCTCACAACGTGTGATTACAGGCATGAGCCACCAAACCTGGCTGGGCTCCTGCTTTTAACAGTAAGGAAGAAAAAGCAGACGTGAGCCCACCAAATTAAATTTCAGTTCTCCGTAGGTCATTAGGAACACCCACGAGCCAGGAGAGGTGACATATGACAAGCGATTTCTCCTTTCTGATGCTCAGCACTTGGTCCTGTGAAAGCATTCGGGCAGGTGTTCCCTGAAGTTCCTCCTAGCACTATTAGTCTGTGGTACTATAATCAGAGGTTTATTTAGAAAATCCGCCTGTAGAAAGTAGAGTAGGTTTGCACACTCAACTCAATGTCACACGTCTGCTTTATTCACAAGCAAAAAATTTATGAAGGATTCAGCTAAGAACTATTTTCAGATAAGATTGTCAGTCATGACCAGAAATTCAGACTCCTTTCACTAAATGGGGAAGATATGTTAAACTGTTTGGAAATATTATCCACTACGTAGGGGGCACAGTTGTGTACTTAAAATATTTTATTGACCAAAAAATAAAATAAAATAAACCCTAAATCCCCACATTCATCTTTAATCAAAGCACCATTTTTAGGTATCCCTACAGTTGAGAATATAAAGTTTTGAACACATTAAGTGAGAAGAAAAAGAATGGCCTAAGATCAATGACAGAGCAGAACATCTGAAGTAAGTCTAAAACTGTGGCTTACCCCAGGGCTGGCACCTTGACTGGCACGAGAAAGTCAGTGAATCATCAGGTTGATTTTCTTTTTTTAAGAGACAGGGTCTTATTCTGTCACTTAGGCTGGAGTGCGGTGGCACCATCATAGCTCACTGCAGTTTCGAACTCCCGGGCTCAAAACAATCCTCCCACTTCAGCCTCTTGAGCAGCTGGAACTACAGGCACATGCTACCATGCCCAGCTAAATTTTTTAATTTCTTGTAGAGATGGGGTCTTGCTATTTTGCCCAGGCTGGTCACAATTTGAACTTTTGTCTTTATGGATTTATCTACCAAAAAAAAACCCTCAGCTCTTCTTTTAAGGGAAAAAAAAAAAAAAAACAGAGCTTCCTATTTCTATGAATAATCTAGAAACAGAAATAAAAAATCTGAAACCAGTGGCTGCAAGAACATCGCAGATAATCTAGTTCCTAATTCCAGAAATGTACAATTCTAACCACTAGGGCAAAGAACACCCCAGAAACAGATGTTTAACATGGTAAAGCACATGCTTTGTTTTCTCCTCTGGTGATTGAAAGGCTTCAGAATGGCTACTGTGATGGTGGCACCAAAGTCCTAAAATCCAAATTCAAATTGATGAATATTTATGACATTATACCACCAATGTCCAGAAGTTTTATTAGTATACCAGGACCACTTAAACAAGAATTAATGGATAATTTTATTGAAGCCACATCCCAAAAGAATCCTTCAAAATCAGTCCATAAAATAGGTGAATGTGTACATGTAAAGATATAGTTCTTCTGAAAATAATTACATTTACAGTCTGGGCGTGGTGGCTCACGACTGTAATCCCAACACTTGGGGAGGCCAAGGTGGGCAGATCACTTGAGGTCAGGAGTTCAAGACTAGCCTAGATAACATGGCAAAATCTTGCCTCTACTAAAAGTACAAAAATTAGCCAGGCGTGGTAGCACTTGCCTGTAGTCCCAGATACTTGGGAGGCTGAGGCAGGAGAATCATGTAAACCTGGGAAGCAGAGGTTGCAGTGAGCCAAGAACGTACCACTGCACACCCCAACCTGGGCAACAGAGCAAGACTGTATCTCAAAAAACAAAACAAAACATTTTCAACAGAAAAAGATTTGACTGACCTAGAATGAAGCCCTCTGAACACCAGCTCTTCGTCAGCCCTGCCACACATACCCCAAGAGCTAAGTATAAACTTAATCGTCGTTGGAGGTGAAAAACCAGTGAAACATGTCCTCACCTTTTTAACAGAAAGAAACAAGAACTAACTAATAACTTCTAAAAATATTCACTTACACCACCACTGGGTAGTCTATGGTCATGATCCCATATCTTATTACTATATCTTAAATTGTTTCAAAAAATAGACATATAAGTATTCTATTAAGAGACTTTGATTTTAGGTTACTTGACATTTAAAAGGATCTGTAGATGAAGTTGAAAACCAAAATTGATTTAATGTTCTATTATTGGTAAACTGCTTTACAGACATAGAGAATGAACAATAAAGGTTTATAAAACCATGATCTCAGCCAGGTGCAGTGGCTCATGCCTGTAATGCCAGCACTTTGGGAGGCTGAGGTGGGCAGATCATCAGGTCAGGAGTTCGAGACCAGCCTGACCAACATGGTGAAACCCCGTCTCTACTGAAAATACAAAAAAATTAGCTGGGCATGGTAGTGCGCACCTATAATCCCAGCTACTCAGGAGGCTGAGGCAGGAGAATCACTTGATCCCGGAGGCAGAGGTTGCAGTGAGCCAAGATTGCACCACTGTATTCCAGCCTGGGCAACAGAGCAAGACTCCGTCTCCAAAAAAAAGAAAAGAAAAAGAAATAAAAAACCATGATCCTCAATGATCTCATATTGACATTAAGAAATTTTTTCGGCCGGGCGCGGTGGCTCACGCCTGTAATCCCAGCACTTTGGGAGGCCGAGAAGGGCGGATCACGAGGTCAGGAGATCGAGACCATCCTGGCTAACACGGTGAAACCCCGTCTCTACTAAAAATACAAAAAATTAGCCGGGCGCGGTGGTGGGCGCCTATAGTCCGAGCTACATGGGAGGCTGAGGCAGGAGAATGGCGTAAACCCGGGAGGCGGAGCTTGCAGTGAGTGGAAATCGCGCCACTGCACTCCAGCCTGGGCAACAGAGCGAGACTCCGTCTCAAAAAAAAAAAAGAAAGAAATTTTTTCTATTTAAAACATCAGATAATGGTTTTGAAGTCTTTTTTAAAATACCAATACTATTCTTCCATTATACTGCCAATAGAACCCAGATGAAACATTGTAGGCTCCCAATTACTGGGTATTTGTGAAAAGAATTAATTAAGAATCTTAATTCCAGCCTGGGCAACAGAGCAAGACTCTGTCTCCAAAAAATAAATAAATAAAATAAAATAAAATAAAATAAAACACCATGATCCTCAATGATCTCATATTGACATTAAGAAATTTTTTCTATTTAAAACATCAGATAATGGTTTTGAAGTCTTTTTTAAAATACCAACACTATTCTTCCATTATACTGCCAATAGAACCCAGATGAAACATTGTAGCATCCCAATTACTGGGTATTTATGAAAAGAATTAATTAAGAGTCTTTGAACTATCATATTTTAATGAAAATCACAGAAAATATGCTTTCTTGTGACTATGCACAACTTTAAAGTAAGGTATAAGGAAAGGAAAGGAAAGTATGAGAAGAATTCAACCCTTGCTAATAAAACCAAGCTCACTACCATAAACAACACGTACAGACATGCACGCACATACACACACGTATGTATCATAGTGGACCCCTAACCCTAACCTCAGCAAAACTGGCAAAAACTGAAGTGATCTATATTATTCAGCTTCTTCTTTGGCAATGTTACGGGGTCACAGAGAAAGCTGCCTTCTTGTTTCAGAACTGGCTTGCAGTCTGAAAATTTTAAAAACTGAGCTTGCACAGCTCAAGTGATTCCATCAGAGACATCCTCCAAATCCTGAACTCGCCAATGCTAAAGAGATTAATCTGGTCGGGTATGGTGGCTCATGCCTGTAATCCCAACACTTTGGGAGGCCAAGGTCGGGGGAATCACTGGAGGTCAGGAGTTCACAACCTGCCTGGACAACATGGTGAAACTGCATCTATACTAAAAATACAAAAAAAATTAGCCAGGTGTGGCAGCACATGCCTGTAATCCTAGCTACTCAGGAGGCTTGAGGTGGGAGGATCACTTGAACCCAGGAGGCGGAGGTTGCAGTGAGCCGAGATCATAACACTGCTCTCCAACCTGGGTAACAAAGCAAGACCCTGTCTCAAAAAAACCAAAAAACAAAAAAAACAAAAACAGATGACTCTAACCAATTCTCGGCATATGAAAGGTACCTGCAGCTTGAGAGCTCAAGAAGACTTCATCTCTCACATTTACAGGTACAGTATATTTCACTGTACTATAAGGTTATATAGGACAGTAATTAAAAAGTGCATCCTAATGACAGCCTGAGCACTTACTGGCTAGGGGACCTTGGGCAAATCAGTGAATCTCTCTGACTCTCAGGTTCCTCATCTGGAAAATAGGAATAATAATTACACATCTCTCATGGTGTTGTTACTAAGAGTAAATGAGTTAACATATGTAAGAGTATTTGGGCATATTAACTGTTCAAAACATGTTAGCCATGGTTATTATTACTGATATAAGTACATCAAATCCTGTGTTTACAACAAAAGAAGTTAGGCTATTCCCTAATGCCCTCAGCCTCAGGCTTACTTTTGTCCTGCATGGCAGACAGGAAAAATTTCCAGGGTACTTCTATCCTCCACCAAATAAAGGGAGGGGAAAGGGGGTTAAAGATCAACTGCAAACAAAGTGTTGCAGTAAAGAAAGGTGGCAAAGAAGTAAAAGCATTTCTGAGAGCTGTACTTGTCCATCCTGGCTACACACTGAAATCACCTGGGGGGCTTTTAAGTCATATAGATGCCTTGCCCCTGCTGCTTCAAGATTCTGATTTAACTATGCTGGGGTAGATCCTGGGCATCCAAAGAGAGAGAGAGAGAGAGAGATACATACATACATACATACATAC